TAAGTAGACAATGGTCAAACTTTTCTGAGTGCAGTACATAAGAACGAACATATGTAAATGGTATTCTACTGACTGAAGTCTTTGCTCAGATGTGACATTACAGCAACGTCACTGAAATGACAATGAGGGAAGTAAAGGAGCAGCTCTCTGGGCCGGTGTGGGTGGGATTCTGGGGAGTCAGTCTTGGTTGGGTGTGTTCCGTATGTTCCTCACACTGATAAATGCATCAAATGTATGGATTTCAAATCTCAGCTGTTTTTTAGAAGTCACCATCAGGCTGTGTGCTCGCACTGTTAGCTTGTCTCTGCTTAGTGATTTGTTGTGCTGTGTTGCTTGTCCAGGAAGTCATCACAGCCAATCTGTTTCAGACTGGGCCATGCGGCATCATTTTAGAGCCTTCTGGCAACACATTTGTCTCCATTATTTCTGACTTCTGCTCATCCTCACTGTCTCTCCCATGCCACTGCTGAAATCTTGGCAACATAGTCATATGTTTGAACTTTTCTACTACATACACACAATATAAACCATGGAAACAGTAATGCACACAGCAGAACCAAAGCTTCTTAATTGGCACCTTGTGGTTATGAGTTGGAAGGAGTGGAAGTAAAAGAGATAAGAGGAGTAAATACACCCTACAAACTGGCCTGGGTTTTTCTAGAGGTAGTTTTATGGTTGTGCTTTATCATGTTTGGGCCAGTGTTGCTTCATTGAATGTTTCCTGTGGAGGACAGGTTTTCTCATGCAGGGTTTAGAGTTACCGTTGCTGAGACAGATGTTCATGAGCCCTGGAAAACCATGTCAACTAAGGCTGTAGAATTCTGCTCATCCCACCCTATTTTCCATCATAGATACTGACTGTAATAATCAGGTCACAATGTTGTTCCCCTCATAGCTCACTCAGGTTATTGTAAAGTTAAATAATAGACTGAAAATCATGTATGATACTTTTTATTTTTGTTTTATCTAAAGCCAGTGAAAACCTATTCTACATATTTTCTATAACATAAAAGGGAGTTTGGGGGTTATTCCACTGATCTAGTGTTGCTCTTCAGTAAAATATTGTGGGGGGGACTCACAACCCTGCAGGCAGCTGGCCACGAACACTGTTAGATGTTGATATTTGGTTGGTTTTAAGTTGTTATAAAGGAAACAAACGTCCAACGTCTTCTAATCGTCTCATGCCAACATCTTGACATAAAGACAGATATATATATATATATATATGTCCTCACAGTTTCCATGGTTTGAGATTTGGTGACTGTGAAGGTCAAAGCATATATTTCACTCATCAAACTATTCAGTGACCCCTTGTGATAAAGGTGATCACGCAGAACAACTTTGTATTGATTTCCTCTAAGGACCATACCAGTGAAATACCCTCATCATCATTTTCATACTCATCAAACCGTTCAGTGACCCCTTGTGCAATGTGGGTGAGGGCATTGTAGTCCTGTTACCCAATTATTTCCAGACTCTGTGATCAGGGTCACAGTGATCAAAGCTACACACGGTCTCACCCAACCCCTGCCAGCCTTCAGAGGCTTCAAACTGTCCAAAGAGATGCACAGGTTTATATACTGTATACACAGTAGAAGGACAATGGTATATGGCTACAGTGAGATTATCCAGCTTGATCTGTAATGTTCAACTCTTACACACACACTCACACACAGAGAGACGCTGGCTTTCTGTCAGGGCCTGGTGTTTCTTTTGGAGTGCAGTTTGTCCCGTTGCTTTGCCTCCTCTGGTGCCAGATTGTGTCTTTCTCCCCTTTAAGGGTCCATTAACTCCGAACTAGCTCTGTCTGTCCTCATAAAGCAACAATCCAAAAGCAGGGGAACTACCCGTCTGTGACCAAAAGCATCAACACTGTTCCACTCTTAATTCAGAGATGACAAGGGTCTACAGGTAAATTGTTGCTAGGTACCATGCTGAATCATAACAGACTAGTGAATGATGCTTTTCTTAGAAGATGTTGCTTTGACCTTTTTTACAAAGCTCTTTCAGGGCAACATTTAGTAATTGTCAGACTGCACTTCAAACATGCTACTTTGTTTTGAGTTTAATACGTTGCTCTGTAACTGTCTGGGGTGCTGGAAAGCTTTACCTTTTTATTACTTTTTGATCTAATAATTAACTGAACCCAGTGCACCCTTTAACCCAGAGCACACAACAGTCACAGCCCTTCCTCTCGGAGTTGGCTTAAATCATTGAAAGCTCCTGAGAAGCTCAAGTTTCAAGTTTATTCAAGTTTTTCAGTGCAGCGACAGTGACAGTGCAGGGACAGCAACAGTGACAGAGACTGTGAAAGTGACATGACAGAGACGGAGACTGTGACAGAGACAGACACAGTGACAGAGACGGTGACAGAGACTGAAAGTGACAGGACGGTGACAGAGACAGTGACAGACACAGTGACAGAGACGGTGACAGAGACTGAAAGTGACAGGACGGTGACAGAGACAGTGACAGACACAGACACAGTGACAGGACGGTGACAGAGACAGTGACAGACACAGACACAGTGACAGGACGGTGACAGAGACAGTGACAGACACAGACACAGTGACAGGATGGTGACAGAGACAGGACAGTGACAGAGACTGAAAGTGACAGAGACAGGACAGTGACAGAGACAGGACAGAGCCTGTGAAAGTGACAGGACATTGACAGTGACAGTGACAGAGACTGTGACAGTGACAGTTCATTGCAGTGACAGGGCAGTCACAGTGCAATGACAATGCAATGTCGTGACAATGCAGTGTCAGTGCAGTGATAATGTACTGACAGTGGATTGTAAACAAACATGTTGGCATCTATTGTGCAAACTCTAGTGCAGGTTTGATTTAGAAGGTACTAATGGACATGACTGAATGTGACAGAGTATATAACTGTACATGGTTGCTACATGATGTAAACATGGCTGGCAATGTTTTACTGAGAGGTAAACTGGGACATAATGTTTATGCTAAATGTCATCACAAAGGAATTGTCCTCAATCCATGTGTACTAGAAATATAGAATTAACACATCAAACAGATCGATCTGGAACAGAGGTATTTGATTAATAAGTCGATAAATGTGTCTACACAGAGCACGAGACAGACGAGGCAGGAGAGGAGCCCCTCCCAGCAGATCATCACACAAGACAATGGTCCTTTTAACGTCACTGTTGCAAAAGTCATCCTGCAGGTTATCCAATATAAATTCATCAGGTTGTTTAAAAGATCAGCTCTACGATTTAAAAGGAGGAGAGGAGAGGAGCAGAATCGCGGGTTGACAGGCGGAGAGAAATGCAGATCTGGTGTGAACAGCCAGACTGCTGCTCATGAGACGGAGTTGGACTGGAGTTGGACGCGGCTACCTTGCGTGATCTAGAGATTCAGCATCTCCCAGCAGAAACAGATGGAGAAAAGACCTATTGATGTCAAAGTGACATTATACCAGCAACATTACATAAAACTGACACCATCCACTATGGTTTCTATGTCTAGTCTGAATCTGGAAATGACACAGACATGAAAAAATATAAATATATTTAATTATTTTACAGCTGTATGTGGAAACAGTGGCATTTTAGTGACGTTTTCTGTCAAAAAATAAATCAGAAATTAATTTATGATGAAGAGAAATCCAACATTTCAGTATCCTGAGAGATAGAGCTGCAGCAGCAGAGACACAGTGAACACACACAAGATTTTCTGCAGCAGCTTAGCAATGTCAATCGCCATGCAATGCAGGCAGTGTGTTCCCGGTGTAAGTCTGAGTAACAAGTACACAGTACAGGCACAACAGATAGCTCAAAGTGACAAAGTGAAAAACATGGTCACTCCAAAGTTAGTTTACAAATGCTAGCAGACAATTCCATCTCTATATAATCTTGCTTTAATGTAATTAACAGTGTTAAATAACATGCAGTTTAAAATCAGTTCAAAAGAAGTAATCTGACTCATGATGGGTGGTGTCCAGTTCATCTGACACGATTGTTGGTTGTATGAAAGGAGCAAGATTCTTGTCATTTTTTTTCCCTCTTATTGTAGCACGTGGCACATTAGTTGTATCCTGTATACAGACCAACACTGTTGTGATGTCAGTGTTGTGGGTTTAGTGGAAGACTAATAGCCATAGCTGTAGACATTCCCAGACCCTGAAAACACAGTTGACCCACATCCACACACAAACTGTTTGTCCAGCCATGGTTGAGTAGTTCATGCATTTCAACAGGAGAAATCTATTAATTGGTTAATTAATGCTGGCTGTTGTGTCTGTAGCTGGTTCAGCTTGGAGCCTCTCTGCTTTCTGTCTGCCCTGAATGGAAGATTAGACCAGACCTGCTTTACACTGGCATGAATGAGTTGCTACCAGTTTAGTCTCATGTTATTGTAAGCCAGCAGAAGAAATGTGCACTTTATGGCAGTTAACACACAAACACACACAGATTGGGTGTTGTTATTGTTGCTAACAAGGTGAAACGGGTTTAACAGCGTGTCCATGCTGTCGCGGGGAAAGGAACGTTCTGCTATGGCACATAACACACAGGGCTCAGTGTGTGTGTGTGTGTATGTGTGTGTGTGTGTGTGTGTGTGTGTGTCGGTTCAATTTTGCTTGACATTTTGGGCTCTGCCAGCTGGATCTCAGTGAAGTGCTGAGATGGCTGTTGGCTGGGTAATGTGTGCTGCAGGTTAGTGTGCTCTAACCTTACAGGTGTGTATGTGTGTACATTGCACTTTAGGAATTTACCTGCCGGTCCTCTCCAGAACAAACTGAGCTCAACAAAGTTCAGGGTGAAACAGTAGGAGACATGAAATGGAGATGGAGAATGACATCACATACAGCACAAGACTAAAGAACATACAGCCTCATGAAACTGCAGCATGATTTCACACATAGGCACATGTGTACATGTAAAAATATTAAGTGATCAATGTCTCCTGTGAGTGAGTCACCTGTTGGTTTACAATAGTGATGACATTTTTGATGTGTGTTTTCCTTTGCAGAAGCTGTGATGGCAAAAACATCCGCTACAGAACCTGCAGCAACACGGTGAGTCTACTCTTCATTACTCATTGTTAATGTTGCTACATGACTTTAGATTATATGTGTAACATGAAGATAAAGGCTGGTATTTGATTTTCTGTTTCAAATGTCATATCCACACCTTTCAGAAGGTGACATCTGTATGTGCTTTAAAGACACTTTCCACACAGGAACAGTAGAATCAGCTGTTCAGCTGATGTTTACCTTCAACTTACAAAGCCATCTACTGGCCATAAAAATTATGACTGTAGTCCATTGTGAGGAGGTCGTGGTCACAGATGAAACGTTGCTGCTGTTGAGAAGAAAGCAGTGCAACAGCCTGCTGTGAGCACATCTCACAGCTGGAGAGAGGGGGCACAGCTGGGCTTAGTTGGCATCATGTGGCATCCAATAGTAGCTGGTTGCTAGGCCCATAGATATGTTTCAGTGACTACAACATGATTAAACCACTGACGGAACTGTGGAGGCAATTTCTGATCTCTGCTGGGAGACTTGTGCTCTTTGTAGACTCACCATCCACCTCGACCAGCTCTTCCACTGTGGTTAATATATGTAGCACTTCATTCACTGAATAAAACAAAAACGAACACATGATTGGGAAAACAGTTCAGTAGTTTATAAATATAATGTCTAGAAGACTGAGTTGATTTAATAGACATGTACATATTATCTTTGACGGTTATTTTTATCAGTTTATAATTAATACTTTTCAATTTCATAATTCAGAATCTTCCGACAAGCAACTTGTGAAGGTGTGTAGGCTTATTTCATAGTGTCCAGATACATATTTAAAGTTATAATCTGTAACTTCAGATGATACTACAAATATGTTATGCACTGTGTGTGAAACATATACCCACATACACCACAGAAACATATACAGCCTGACAGTCGTCTCACACCAGTTTAATCAGAGGAAGACAATTGGTTTCATCTGGATTCTTAGTAAAACTTCAATCACATCCGGTGGGAAATCTTTCCTAGCATAATATTTATCTAATCTCGCCCCTCATACATGGAGGCTGAGTCTGTTTGTAGGGCTCCATACAGGTGTCTGGAGGAGATGTTGCAGGCCCACAGTGACTGAGTGAAGTTGATGCATCACACTGGATGTGTCCAGTTCAGAGTTATTGGCTGCCAGTGTCTCTTATTGATCAGAGACAGCTTTCAGTCCCAAGAAAAAAGCAGGTGTTAACTGCTGTCAGCTGCTCCCTGATCCCATATGAACCACAGAAACACAGGTGGAATCCAATATTTTATGAATGACTTTAAAATGTGGTTTGAATTGTTGACACAATTGCACCTCTGACCACCGCCCACTCAAGTTCCCACGTATCCTGGCCAAGCTAGAAAAACTTTATTCAGATTTCTTTTAGTACCAAGTTCATTAATTGGTCAGGATGATCTACAGTATATCTACCGATTCATTGGACACAGAAAACATGTCCGCCAGGTACACAAAAAATCAAATGTCCATGCAGAATTTTCAGTCACAGTTAGTTTCAATTTGGACTTGGGCAGAACAATTTATTGAAATATTATTGAAATCACAATATGGTCAAGTGCAGTATCCAAATCACAGGAGCTGCATTTTATTTGATAAAGGTCAAATGTGTCACAACAGACCATCACTGTTGCAATATCGACCAACATAATCCAACATAATCTGGACACTGCTTAAGATCCTAGTCCAGGGTCCAATGAAGTCCTGTCCTATTGGTTTGGTGCTATTTCATCATTCATAAGTACTGTAACGGTTTGAGTTATAAAGACTACTTCACTATGTGCTGCCTATCTTTAGATTGTCAGGTGTGTCAAGGCTTCACACATTGTAGTAGCACCCAAAGGGGAATGAGAACGAATACTTTCCCATTGTCTCTAATCACTGGATGAATAATAACAACAATTTATTAGTATCAGTGACATCAGTCTCAGTTAAAAAGGTCTTGACGTTTGCTAGAACCACACCGACTCGAGAGCAGGTGTTCCCTCGTTCTTGGCCTCACCTGGCTACAACAGCTCCTTCCCTAACAACTCTAATGCTACTCCTCTCTTCAGGGCAGGGACTAGTGTATGTGACGTATTACAGAATTTTTAATTTCAGTAGATCAAGACGATCTACATGGTTTTATTCAGTGCAGCAAATATACAGTGTTAAAGCGCTAATTCTGTGTTGGAACAAGGGAATAATTCTGCCTAAAATTCCTCGAAGGTAATTTCCTAAAGATATTTCTTCATAAAGTCTTCTTCAGTCTTCTTCAGTCATTTTCAGTCTTCCTCAGTCTTTAGTCTTCTTCAGTCCCCTTCTGTCTTCTTCAGTCTTCAGTCTGCAGTCTCCTTTAGTCTTCCTCAGTCTTCTTCAGTCTTCAGTTGTCAGTCTTCATTCTTCTTCAGTGGGCAGTCTTCCTCTGTCTTCAGTGTTCCTCAGTCTTCTTCAGTTATCTTTAGTTTTCTTTAGTCTTATTTAGTTTTCTCCAGTCTTTTTCAGTCTTCTTCAGTCTTTAGTTGTCAGTCTTCAGTCTTCCATAGTCCTCTTCTGTCTTCCTCAGTCTTATTTAGACTTCTTTCATCTTCTCCAGTCTTCTTTAGTTTTCTCCCGTCTTTTTCAGTCTTTGTCACTCCTCTTCCGTCTTCTCGAGTCTTCAGTCTGGAGTCTTCAGTCCTCTTCAGTCCTTTTCAGTCTTCTTTAGTCTTCATCAGTCCTCTCCAGTGTTATGGGCTCCGGGTACATCTCTTGTTGTTATTATGTTTTATTGTATGGTGCAGTCGTTCCTTTTGAAGTAAGGCTGGTCTACCTGTCATTCGCTGCTCTGGAAGGGATTCCCCTCTGGTCTACGCCTCTGGACTGCTCCTCTGTGTCTGTGCCCCAGTGTTCCTCATTTTTGGCTGGTCCCTACCCTGTTGCAAAGGTGGTCCCAGCCGCCTATCACAAGCCTGCCTGGTCCCGTCCTCAAACAGATAAAAGCCGCGTCGTGGAAATGTCAGGGCGGCTGTGATTTTATCTGAGCAGTCCGCCTCTGTGCCTCTCTGTTGGAACTGTTCACTCGAGTGATAGTTAGCTCTAAAGTTAACTTCAGTCGTTGTGGTTATAATTTGATGTTGACTCGTTTGAGGCACTAGTTCAGTGACATTGGGATCATGGGCATTACGGTTTAGTTTAACTTGTTTATTTTCCTGTCTATTTTATTTTCTGTCTGGCAACACTAGCTTTATGGCTAGAGTGTTTTTTGTTTTAACAGGTAAGATTGGAGCTAGGGTTTTTATTTTCGTTTGTTTTCTTCTGTAGTAGTGGGGATTGGTCGGGTTAGGAAGCGACTTTGTTTTGTTTGTTTTATGATTTGGCGCCACCTGCAGCTCTTTCCCTTTGATTTTCACCTCATGCGTTTTGTGTTTGTAAACTGTTTTTGGTCACTAAGAAATAAAAGGCAGAACTCGCCTGCAGTCTGCAGTCTTCTCTCTTCTTCTGTCCCCTTCAGTATTCTTTAGTCTTATTAAGTCTTCCTCAGTCCCCTTCAATCTTCTTCAGTCCTCTTTAGTCTTCAGTCTTCTTTAGTTTCTTTAGTCTACTTCAGTCTTCAGGTGTCAGTCTTCCTCAGTCTTTTTCAGTCTTTAGTTGTCAGTCTTCAGTCTTCTTCAGGATGATGATGAGAAAAAAACTCTCCTTCAAAACATGAACTAAAGCAAATTTACATTGTGGATCAAAACTTTGATCAGGTTGTTGAATGAAATGTCACAGCCACGAATTTCGAATGATGTGCTGACAGAGTGGCAGTGGCAAGTCCTTTTAGCTCGTAGTTTTTAGTTTTTTTTCTTTTTGCAGTATATTCCTGTATTTTTTGTCGATTGACAAAATCAACTAACACTGTCAACAGTGTGTGAAAGAGCCGTCCCCTGTTGTAATACACATTGTAACACTAGATGCTGTGTGAGTTAGTGTAGAGTCTAGTCTGCCCTAAGTCCTACGAAGAAGAACAGCTTCCTCCAGAGTTTGAAGTTACGCTACAGCTCCGACTAGCATCACAGAAACAAAGATAGCTGAAGCTCCTAGAGAGTGATCTTTATCTCCATCCCAAAGGACCGCTCCTGACAATTCACCACATTTAACAGCAAAGAAAAGAAGCAGGTGTGGCTTTCCACCACTGAAGACAGCTCTTGAGAGTAAAGAGATGTGGTTTGATCGAGCTCACAACTTTTCTGTCAGACTGGTGAGTAAAATCTAATGTTGGTCTTTAGCGAAAAGTATCAGTAGTGCAACTAATGACAAACTGTACTGACAAACATTTCAGGTGGCATAAATGTATGAAATTGATGTCGACAGACTCCTGTTAAGAAGTTTAGTAGAACTTGCCTGTTCCTGCCGCCTGTTGCCCAGCTAGTTACGTCAGTAACCTTAGACTTATTTTATAACTGATTACTGTTACGAGGTCAGGCAGGATTGAAAGTTCACTAGGTCTTTACATTTTTGAGGAGATTTCAGCATCCCTTTGTCTTTCAGGACCTGAGCCAGTACAGACACCGCCTCCGCCTGTCCCATCAACACCAACGGCAGAGAGTGTACAGACACAGTGAGGAGGGTCGAGGTGAGTAAAATTCATCAATCACTTTTACAAATAAAACAAAGAGACTGTTTGATCCAGAACCAGTGGGTTCAGGATCTGCTTCTTCCCCTCAGCTGTCACCCTGCTCCACTCTGCACCACTTCTCTATACCACTGTGATTAAATCAGAGTCACAGTGTATACATGTTCATACTGCTGATTCATAATTCATCACTATAACACTGCCTATATCTCTATTGTTTGTTGGTTATATAGTGTCTACATTGAATTCTTTTCATACCTCTTGTTTTTTACTCTTCATTTCCTTACATTTACATTTCCTAATATTCATACTGTTACTAGTGTTCACATTGTGTATATCTCAGCATATTCATGCCAAAATTCATACTGTATTTATTTTAGCATATTCATATCTATCCTCACTATTTATTATACACACACAACAGAC